TTGTTGTTCCCCGCAGATAGGTTGATGTGTGTATTGCAAGTCTTCCTCTACATGAAAATGAATAGTTGAACTCATGCAAGCATCATGCTCGTTGAAGGACTATTACATGTATATGCGAGACAACTATCAAATAATTATTGTTGATAGTAGGTAGATTACTTTCCTCGCAACTTTCTTCCTTTGTTTGCAGGTATGCTGCATTCTTTATTTATGTCTGTCAGTGAATAATCATATTCTTTGTATGTCAAATTCCCTTGTAAGGGGCAAATATATTTTCTTGCACGACTAGCATGAGCACCATGCATCAGTTCACAAGTGTAGGGTTGCAAGCGAACCAAATGTTTGACGAGCTACTCATTGTTCAGTTCGATTAAAGCTCGTTTGTGATCATTTAATTAACTAAACAAACAAACTTGAACAATATTTTAAATACTCGATTCTTAAATAAACAAACTTGAACACTACTGTGTTTGGCTCATTTATGTTCACGAACAACATCAGTTGAAGTTCGTGAACAAGTTCGACATTAAACTCGATAAGAAGCTCGATTCATGTTCGAATTTGAACTCGTGAATAAGCTCAATAAAAATAATTAATATTTGATTATAGAATTAATAAATATAAATAATCGTTGCCTTTGTTACATAGGCAATTACTTTTATTATAAATGTGTTTGTTCATAGATATGTTCATGAACGTGTTTGTTTGATAGTTAAAAAAAATTCGTTAAATATGTTCGCGAACAAGCTCGATAAGCACTAAACGAACGAACATGAACTGAATATGAACACTCATTAATTTAAATGAACCAAACATGAAAACAAACAATAAAGCTCGAACAAACATGAATCAAACTTGAACAAGCTGATATTAAATAAACACAAACATGAACACTCACATACTCGACTCGGCTCGGTTTGTTTGCATCCCTACACAAGTTTAATGCCTACTGAGGGCTTTGTATGTCTAATTACAATTAGATTATATGCCCCTTTCAATTTTTATTACTCGTGTGTCAGTCATATTTAAAAACCACAAGTTATTGTAATTTCTTGTTGATAATGTATGGATAACTAGGATTATTAATTAGCATTTTGCATTTCAACATGATTGTGCATTTGTTAATTTGATGCTCAGTTCCTTGTTTAATGATTTTAGTTATGTTCCCTATTGTCGTGAGCATTGCACCGAGCTTCCTTCCACTGTGCTACGAGACCGCGTATAGGGGGTTCTCCGACTCGTCACAAACGTCAAAAGCGGGATTTTAAGTTTTAGAAATTATACCTATGTGAGGGTTGGCGGTGGTGGTGACAACGGGCACAGAAAGAGAGCACATAATTTTATTCTCTTTCTTTTTTTTTTTCTTTTCCTCTTTTTTTTTTAACTTTCTCTCTTTTTTTTTATTCTATTTTCTTTCTTACAATTATGATGACAATAACAACTAAATGAACTAACTAGCAGTAATAATTAATGATAAAAAAATGTTAGTAATGATGATAACACATTTAACTATAATAGCTAATACTAATTAGTTAATCAAATAATTACAGTAATTAGCATGAGTAAAAGACTACATGCACCACTTACAGTTTGTTTACTCTCCCCTCCCCCTTTTTTTTAAGCAACCACGGTAATAATTTTTTTTAATATAAGTAAATTAATACTAATTTTAATAATAGCAAATACAAACAGAGATAAAATGAAAATAACAAGAATTAAAAAAAAAAAGGTGAAATGGAAAACGTAGCAATAGGTGTAGAGGAAAAGGTCTTCACGTGAGTGCAAGGAGGTCAGGCCATTTGTCAATTGAGGTCGTGAATTTGGAAGAAAAGGGGTCGGACTGGTCGGAGCTCTTGCGGCCAAGTGTGTTGCGGGAAGTTCGAATGGGGCTGAGGCTTGCAGAGGGCTTTTGAGCGTAGGCGGCCAAGTGTGTTAAAGATGAAACAAGGAATCAAAAGAGGAAGCTTGTGTGCATGAAGATTTCGCGCATGGAGAAGAATATTGGGATCTCATTCTTCTCTGATTTAACGACGAGGAGACACGAGAGTATCCGTTTTACATACTGCTTAGCCGTGATTTACAGAGATTTGCATAGAGTTTCAACTCAACGAGGTAATCAAATTAATTGCGATACAAAGATTTTTTTTTGTTTGACTTTTGGTTGACTTTTTCTTAATTTCATTAAATTGGTAATGATATCAATGCTATGTTATAATTATTTATCAATTTCAAATGACAGCAATGCGTCAATCGATTAAATTTGCTTCGATTCGCGTGTATTTCCTTGAATTGTGTGTGATCGTCTCAGAACTTGTGACGATTTGCACGCGCAATTTTCATTGAGAAAATTTATATTGTACTTTGGGTATTGACGACTTTCTGAACACAACGACCAAGTCCTTTTTGTGATCGGACGTCATTTGGGCAACATTGCGTGTCAATTTTCTTAATTTGTGCCTTGCTGCCTCGGGACTCGTGCGATTTCCTCATGTGCCTTTCATCGACCAAATTGACAGTAATTTTTTAGTATTGACGATGCTTCGAACACAATGGTGAAGTTCGTTTTACGATCAGACGTCGTTTGGGTAATGTCACACGCTAATTTCTTCGATTCGTGCGTGTTGCCTCAAGATGCTTGCCGATTTTTTTCACGCAACTTTAATTGATCAAATTGATCGTCACTTTTGTGCATTGATGACATTCCGAACACAACGACAAAATCCGTTTTGTGATCGGACGTCGTTTGAGCGGCGTCGTACATAATTTCCTTAGTTGATAGTGATTTTTGGGTGTTGAAGATGTTTCAATTGTAACAAAGAAATCCGTTTCGCAAACAGATGTCGTTTGGGCGAAATCGCGCATCAATTTTGGGTGTCGGTCATCCCTTTGGACCAATCTCATCTGATTTAACTGCGAGGGGTCCCCTCTTAGGCGAGCTCAATGTCCTGATTGTAACTATGCAATCCGTTTAGCAATCGGAGGTTATTTGACCATTCAAATGGTGTGTCACATCAATACATGTGTTGCTTGATTTGTCAGTTTTTTCTTTTTTTTTTTGGCGTGGTTTGATGTGTAAGGATCAACAATATCTTCATCTCTGCAACACTTAACTTGAACCATTTATGGTCAAATGTTGTTAAAAAAAATTTCAAACCTAAAAAACGAGCACCAAAATGAAACTTCGCACAGTGATGAGCTTGAGAAAGGATTGTTAAAGCTCACTCCGACTAGTTATAATAGGGATATTGATGTAGGCAAAGGGGGGATCAAAACATTTTGAATTTTAAATTTGGAGAGCTTCTAGGTCCTCTACTAGAATCAGCTCATTAATGTTTAGTAGAGAGCTTTTTTAGCTCATAAATTAAGGTTCATTCCCCCCATTGGCTGCCCCTTTGGTTCCCCCACCTAGCTCTCCTTCCCATGGCTGATTCCTCCCCCTTTTATTATTGGTTACGGTCCCCTTTGTGCCCTTCGGTTCCCTGCCTGGCTGCTTGTACGGTTCTTGTGCAGCCCCTTCAGTTTCCTCCCTTTCCTCCCTGATTGCTTGTCCCGTGGTAGCTTTTTCCCAGTTTTCTGTGGGCTGTTTGAGTGCTGTTTCTGGATTGAATATTTGGCCTTCCATCTCCCCTTATTTGATTAGTTTAATTGGAGAAATAAAAGGACTGTTTGGCTGCCCTTTTATCCAATAAATATGTGATGTTTAGAGAGTTTTTTAGTGTGTTATGTGCCAATTTTTTGAAGAAACCTGAGGGTTTTTTAGGATGGCTTGCGAGCTATGCCTTTTCTCTTCCTCTCCCTCTAGGAAAGATTGCAAGCTTCTCCTACTTCATCTCAGCTTCTTATCTCTTTCGTCTATCCGCAAATTCGACGTCACCTGTATCATTCTTCTCAAGGAAATGCAAGTTTATGTTTTTATTATATAAGTGTGTAAGAGTCGTTTTATAATATGAAAATTGAGTTTTAGCATGTATGTCGTGTAATTTCTTATATCCTAGGAAGAGTTTCTTTTTCTTGCAAAAATTAGGGTTCTAATTTTTGCATGCATCAGATATTGAGCATGACAATAAATGGTTTCCACCAAAAAATAACATTACTATTGATTCTGGTAGGGGTGTCAATTCGGGTCGGCGGGTCGGATTCGGGTCAACCCGAACCCAACCTTGTTTTAAAAACGGGTCAGGTTTCCGGACCCGAACCCGACCCGATTAGGGTCCGGGTCAACCCGACACGACACGAATGACCCGAAGTTGACATAAAATTGCTAATTTTCGGGTCAAAATCTGGTCAATATTCGATTTTAGGGTCAAAATCGGGTCAAAAATGGGTCAATCTCGGGTTTTCGGGTCAAATATGAGTTTTCGTGTCACTTTCGGGTCAATTCCAGGTCAATTTCGGGTTACTGGGTCAAGCCAAACCCGACCCGATTTTTAAAACGGGTTGATTTGCTCAACCCGAACCCGACCCGTTTCAGGTTCGGGTTGACCCGAACCCGGATTTTTCCGGGTCGGGTTCGGGTCATGTCAAAAATTGACATCCCTAGATTATGGGTTTATATTTTTCTCCACTTTCTTAAACTATTCCATTATTTATGCAATATTATGGAACCTAGCTTTGTATAATACTATTTAGTACATCAAACTGTCAGGTATAATACTATTTAGTGCATCAAACTGTCAGGTATAATACTATTTAGTGCATCAAACTGTCAGGTATAATACTATTTGGTGCATCAAACTGTCAGGTTTCTAACATTTATCCACAGTATGCCATATACTGATGCAAGGAAAGCTTGATCTTTTACTCCTTTGCATTGTTGTCATGAAGGAAGATTGTAGATTCTTACACAGCTACTTGCCTGATTTTATCCAATCATTGAAATACATAGAGAAACAAACTGGAAGTTATTTATTAGAAAATGTCAAAGCTTCCATTACTGATTTTGTTATGACCTTCCAGTTAGAGTAATGCCCTTTGTGGTTTCCATGATGATATTCTAACAGGCGAGCAAACTTCACATCTGCCGACATGCGGGAGTCCGACTTTAGCGGTTCCACGTTCAATGGAGCTTATATGGAAAAGGCTGTTGCTTACAAAGCAAATTTTTCAGGTAATTAACTTGTACTTGATTAAAAATTTTCTAATCCATGTCTCACCGGCAAAAGTTCTTTATTTTGTTTTCTTAACTAGATTTAATATATTTCTTACATTACTATGCATGCTTTCATTTCCTTGGATTACCCAGGTCTAAAACTTAAGATATCTGCTTTTGCTTCCCGTTCATATGTTGTTAATAGAAGATCTTTATTGCCTTAATTTTAGTTTTTGCTTATTCAACTTTAGTTTAATTGCTCCTCATTCATTCTTACATAGTTGACAGTAGATATTTAGTGGTTACCTCTACTCTTTACTGGTTCATTTTTCTTTTTAACTATTTGTTTACTGCCTCACAAAATGATGTTAATGATCGTCAAAGCTTTCTTGCAACTAACTTATCTGTCAATTTAATATGTTTACTGTATTTCTATGCAGGTGCTGATTTAAGTGATACTTTGATGGATCGGATGGTAAGTACAGTCTAGTCTTGGCCATGTTTAGCAAATTTCAGGTATTCCATCTGATATTCTATCTGTACATGGTCAGGAATATGCTCTTGCAGCGTCGAGATTTGGCTCTTGTTTTTTCTTGATTTCCTTATCTTCTTAATGCTTTGACAAGCACTAGGCGCTTCATGATCACCTTATGATTTTACTGTAGTTACCATGTGATGGAACCCCTGGAACTGTTTGTGAACATAAAAAAGATAATTTGGTTTTGCTGAGAGTGAATGCATGCAGTTTTCCTTAAATACCACATACCTTTGCCTAAATGCGTGGATTACAGGCACTTACTTCCTCCAAAGATGTATTGGATGTTAATGTGGAGAAATTATTCTGTGCGGACGCCGGACGCAGCTCTACGTCCGGATGCCGCTGTACCGAGCACCGAGCGGTACCGGCTCGGTACCGGCCACGGTACCGAGCAATACCAAGTCGCGGTATAATAAAAGGGTGACGTGATACATTCTGATTGATCTCCGGAGGGCATTCGATGTCGGCACAGAATAATTTTTTGTTAATGTGAGGGTTGCCATCAAGTTGTAATTAGTTTTACATGAAGCTATAGCCTAAATGATTTGATGTTGTCTTAATGTCCTTGTTCTTTTTTTTTTTTGGGGGCTGATTTGGGGAATCGAACGGGAGCTGCAGGAGGCAACCTCACTGCGCTCAACCACGGAGCTGCACCACGCGTCCTTAATGTCCTTGTTCATTATATTACTGGTGGTGAGTGGAATTTTCTAAAACGTAATAAATTTTCTGACAGGTACTTAATGAAGCAAATCTCTCGAATGCTGTTCTCGTGAGGTCAGTTCTCACCCGCAGTGATCTTGCTGGAGCAGTTATTGAAGGTGCTGACTTCAGCGATGCAGTCTTGGACCTTCCTCAAAAACAGGTATTTGTATAGGCTAAACTATCCATTCTTCAGTAATGATCGTCTACTTGGACATATTAGGTGAATTTATATTGATTAGTGATGGGTGAACTTAGATGGATGACGATAGATAATATAAGTATAATATAACAATCAACCCTATCTATAACCTTCAAATACATTTTCATCCCTTGAAACCGTGATACACGCAGGCTTTATGCAAGTATGCAAATGGGACAAATCCTATTACAGGAGTGAGCACAAGGAAGAGTCTGGGCTGCGGTAATCCCCGCCGAAATGCGTATGGGAGCCCGTCTTCTCCCCTGCTCAGCGCACCACCACAAAAGCTACTTGATCGGGATGGATTCTGTGACGAGGCCACAGGTCTTTGCCAAGCAAACTGAGCAAAAATGAGATTTGTCCCATTGTGTGAAAGTGTTTGCAATACAGCTTTTCTTAAATTTCTTTTTTCAACTTTTTCGAATAGCTTTCACAGCTAAAACTACACTGTAATAAAACTTATAAGGTGTTCACCTCAATGGATGGATGCCAAATGATATTAATTCTTATTCAAAAGAAATATTTTTTTGGCTATGACCAAACCCTTATCGTCAATATGTCCGAGGCTGAAGAAAAAGCTGCTAAACAATTTTGACTGCTTTTTTTTTCAGAGCAGTGAAAATTTTACTGCTCCAAATTGCTTAAGGCATTTTTTGCATGCGGATGACCTAGGCCTCTTATCCTTGGGTTAACTCTTATGAATGCGGATGGAAGCAAAAAGGATTGTTTTTACAGGTCATTCTTCGCTTTACTGAAGTAAATTCCTCAGGTTTGAAAATTAAAACTGTCAAAATGAATTTATAATAAAAGAAAAAATATCGAAAAAAAATAAGGAAGAAAAAAATATAAATAAATCTTACGAAAATAAATAAATAATTAAATTCATAAACTGATATCAAAAGTTTTGGATAAAAACTAATGATGATTACACTAACTAGAGAAATGGAAAAAACTGGAATGCTTGAATCACAATCTAAATGACATGACAAAAAATAATCAAACAAATGACACCAACTAGATCTTTTCACACAAACGTTAAAGTATCAGATTACAAGCTTTTATGTCAAAAAGCATAAAAAATTCTCAGTGATAGGAGAGCCAGAGCAGAATACTAACATCAAAACCATTATTGTTCATATCTTCCATGGCCCAGCCAGATAGTCTTTTTCTGTTAAAGATATTCAAAAAGAGAAAATACTACCCCACAGACATTCTCGAATACTAGAAGCATAAATTCAGAAACACTAGCCTTACAAGCGCAAGCCAGTAGGAAGCTGCTTTATAAACACCTCCGTAAATAAACTCGCAGCAACCTGCAGCAAAGTGTTAGGACATGAAAACAGAAATGATTGTGGAATACAATGGCAGTGTTTCAATTGGGAACCAAGTAATACTCACCACAAGCACAAATCATCAGTGTCGATACTCACGGGATAGGGATCTTTCAGAACGGTGGTATTCATACTCATGGTCCCTGGGTGCCTCTCCCTCCTCAGGGGGTTCAGACTCTGCCCGTTTGTATTGTCCCTCATAATCAGCACCACCTTCCTTGCCATAATGTCCATGCTCATAGTATTCAGGCTCATGATCATACTGCTGATCCTTCTGCTGGTAGTATTGACCATACTCATCTTCATGCCCATGCTTGACAGAACCATCCAAATACTCCCGACCACGGTTTGGATCACCATGATTCGTTTCCCTTACTTTAATACCTTGACGATCTTGTTCATGTGCCACATCAACGTGATCATAGTCTGCATCTCTTTCATGAGCATAACCACGATCCTTATCATGACTAGCACGCTCATAGTCTCTATCCCTCTCCCGCTCTCGTGTGTGATCCCTCTCGCGATCACGGTCACGAGGGCGGCGCTCAAAATCCCGGTTGACGTCTCTTTCTCGCTCTCGATCGCGACCTCGATCACGGCCTTGATCACGATCACGATCGCGTTCACGATCACGATCACGACCATGGTCTCTTTCCTTCTCCCTCTCTCTTTCTCTATTTCTATCACGATCTCTATGGTGGTGTCTATCTTCTCGGAGATCCTTATCTCGTGTCCTATCATGTGACCGTTCCTGTGATTTCTCCCGCCGATCCCTATCCCTACCTCCCCTATCACGAGATCTTTCTCTTTCCCTACATCAAAGGAAAACCTCATAAGTACCACAAAAGATCACAAGCATCTTTAGGGATCATTTGGTTGTTGAAATTAGAAAATATGATATAAAATTCTATAACTTTATTAGATTGCCATTTGGTTGAATGTAGCTAGTAGTCAAATATGGGTTTTACACACTACAAATACCATCAAAATCTGAATTTCATTTTTCAAACTGAATGAGAACTAAAATCATCATTTCTTTTAAAACCATTTTTCTATAGAAGCAACCAAATGAGTGCTTATTTTAAAATTGAGCGCAAAAATAAACAGCATTCAATCTCATCCAATTTATTTAAGGAAATGCAACCATGCAGGTTCACATACCGATCAAGGTGTCTTTCTTCCCGAGCCCTAGGCTCCTCTGATCTGGGTCGGCCAGATGCTGCCTGCTGTTGCTCCCTGATTCAATGTAAAAAATTAAACATGCACAAGGAATTGCATTACTTCAACATGTTGCAAAAAAGTTAATCAAATCATGAGCTATCAGCTGTGGACATACTAATTTATAATCACTGAAGCCAAGGATGAGAAATTCAATATCATTATATACAGAATTGACCATGCATCTCAAACAAAATCAGAAGACAAAATGAACAAGAAACAACTGAAACATAGAATTCACCTTGTAGTAGTGCAACCAGCAAATGACAAAGCCCGGTATGTTTCAACACAATGCGACAAGGTGCATTTTTTACCTAATTTTGTTCGAGATCACAAAAGAAGTCCTTCATAAGCTAACAACGTCGAGAAATTCAACCCATTCCTGCATCTCTCATGTGGGTACTTAGATCTATCATATTTCAAAGAATCATCTCCCAAACTGAATATAATACTAAGGCCTTTTTTAATCCATATCCTCCTCATCTATATAACAGTTAGGGAATCCGACCCTTCAAAGCCTTAAGCAAATCTTCCTTGGGCAAGAAATGCACAACTTCATATTCTAGATTTTGAAATCATTATTCCCATTGAATTTCTCAAACTTATGGTTGGTAGTATTGGCAAAACGTTTTCATAACTGCATGTCCTGAATTCAACCTAGCTGCTTTTATACTAATGTGTTGCAACAAAGTGCCCAAATTAACTCTTTCAGTGCACAAACAGAGCAATCAAATTAACATAGGAGAAATAAACCTAGTACCAAATGAAAAAAAATATGGTACATAAACAATTAAACAACCACAACAAATAAGAACATCAAAATACATAATTAGATCAAGAATGACCCACCAGGCAAGGATAAATAAAAATTTAACAATCAAATGCATGGAGAAGACAATTGAGAAAAATAACAAAATAAATCAAATCCTCTTCTCAGAAAGAAAGACTAATAATGAATGATGGAGATCTCATCAAATTTGGAGCAATAATCTCAAAAGTAAGTCAGGGGAGAACAATTAGTCCTCTCTCTTAAATCTCCAAACAAGAAGCAACCAACTCCCTTTCAATCAGTGATCAGAGCTTCCAAAAACATTTTACTTTTTATCACTTTAGGATGCTTGTTATGTGCATTCGTGTGTAATATGCTACAATCATAACTCCTAGCAGTTCACTCGATTATAGTTAAGTGAGATAAGATTATGATTAGGACATAGGAGAAAAATTTACAATAATGCCATTAGAATTAATTTGAAATAACTCCATAACAATAACTCTAAACCCAAACATCAACTAGAAGTTGAGCTACTCCTTAACTTTACACTTAATAAAGATCATAGAGAAAAGGATCAAAATAGTCAACTCTCTAGAAGGGACCAAGATGGTCCACCATTATTTTGAGAGATTAATTTGGTCCATCAACTCTTTAAAATGAGACCAATTTAGTCCTAACATCCAAACTAATGAACATTGGACTTAATGGTGTTAAAAATTAATTAGCTTAATTATCTAATTATTATTATAAATATTAATAAATTAAATAATTATATAGCTATTATTATTATTTTGATTATTAATTATCTATTTTTTTTAATTTTTTAATTTATATTAATTCCTAAATGATTTGCTACCCTTTCTTCTATTCCACATTCTTCGTTGCTATAAGATGCAGTAGGGTTTTGAACGAGTCACTAGAGCCTTTCTTCGCCTCCTTAGATTACATTCCTACCTGTCAAATTGGAATTAACAAAAGCTCGTTGATGTAGCAACTGAAGGGTTTTGAATGAGTCGCTAATGCCTCCTTTGACGACGCTCCTTCCTGTCGAATCAGATGTCATGAAAATTTGTTGTTCTTCTTGTTGGATCGTGATGGGAGCTTGCTCGATGTGAACGTAACTATCGTTCCCCTTTTTTTCTTATTATTGCTTTTTTCATTTTCGTGGTTATTCCGATCATACCTTTGTCATTCGAAATTTTCATTATTTTTAACGGAAAGACCAAATTGATCCCTTAAAATAGTTGAGGACCATTTTGGTCCCTACTGGAGAGTTAAAAGATCATTTTGATCCTTTTTCTTAAAGATCATACAAACTAAAGTTAACTAATTTGAACAATCTAATTACATAAAATCATAGAAGTTTTTCTTGATCATAATAACCCAACTTATGAATGAATTTTTTAAAAATTATTAGTTTATAAAATCATAAGAGATATAGCCGAGTATTTTTGCTTATATTAAAAGACAAAAAAGATTTATGTATCCATTCTCGAAAATTTCTTTAGTGATATTTTGAATTTAAAATCTTTATCTATTTTAATAAATATTTGTAACTTTAAATTTCATACCCTTTGAATTGTGCATAATATCTTATTGATGGTTTAAAATTATGCAATTAGATGCTCGTCTCAATGCAATTTGAAAAAAGAAATGCAATAAGACATATGCCTCAGGCTAGACATATAAGGCTTACACCACAATAGGGGTGAGAAGCGCCTCAAGGCATTCCTCAACACAACTTTTAAAAGACACAAGCCTAAAAATTATAGTTTAGATAATTTTAAATTTTAAATTTATTTTGTATATTAAATTATATTTATTTATTATATAACAAAATAAAAACAAACTTGAGAAAAACAACATGACCTCAAACTAGTAGTCGTAGGCCCCTCATACCTGCACCCTATACTCTTGCATTACCATTGTTATCACCACCATTTACACCATTGCGGCAGCTTCTCGTCCATTGTCTCTCCTCTTGTCATTGGAAACTTATTTTCTATTTTTAGTATGAGAGAGGAGAAAGAATCTAACTACAACAATAATTCTAATGAAGACTCTAAATGAAAAGAGTATGGGAGACTTTTAAATTCATAAATTATGACCTTAAATTACTTGTTTATGTTGAACTGGAAGTGCAAAAACTATTTATTTAGTATTGTTAGAAGCATTGTATGATTTTTAATGACATTTGACCTTTTATGATTTTACTGTAATATCTTAATTTAATGTGAATATGTTACTTATTATTTCATATTTTTCCTTTCCCGTGGAAAGCTAGTAGGAATTTATGTATCACAATTACTAACATCATATTCTATTGCATTACTCATTCTTTGTATGCATACTTATAATGAAAATATCCATTAGAAGCTTGTTGTTAAATATTTTATTTCATGTCAATACATATTTTAGTAAAATGTATATCAAACTTAAATAAAGTGATCGAACAACGAAAAATCAAAACCCAAAATGAAAATGTGATCATTGAAGTCAAAACAATGTACTAGGGAAAATGTATACAAAAAATAAATCCCCAAGAATTTTAATAGTAATTAAAATTTAAACATACTAACTCTAACTTTATACCACAAAACATTAACCAATAGCTTGATTTTTATCTTTCTTCACCTCCTATTATGACATCAAAGTAGTCATTTACACATTTTAAAAACAAATATGCTAGTTTAATTCCTAAGTTACTTTTACAGATGAGTTAACACTTAACATCTAATATTTATGGTGAATACAAGAGGTGATTTATGGATATCTAACAAGAAATTAAACAATAATTCCAAATTTGTGGATAGAATACCAATTAAATCATTTATTAAATTCAATTTTTTTAAGCAGAGGTAATTTATGTGAAGCTCAATGCCTACATTAGCCAATCGGGAATACAATGTTTGTTTGTGTTGGATAAGTTGGTAAGAGTTTGTATTAAATTTTCATGATATAATAGCATGCTTATGCGAATGGAACATCCTAAACATAAAAAATAAGACCAACGGGAATTTATATTTTGAGCTGGTACCAAGAGATCTATATTTTGAGCACGACCATGATATTTTCTATTTTGCAAAGGCTGTTCCTGCAGAGCCTTCTTGTTTCAATTAATACAGTTTTGTTGGCTTCTTCACGGTAACTATGGGTATTATGCTGGATTCCCTCATGGGCTCCTCTCTTGGGCTTGTGTGCTCCTATTTCAGAACCTTGGGATCCATTCTTGGCTTTCTCATTAACTTATGGAGATTTCTAAGCTTCTCATATTCTTACAGTTGCAGTTCTGTTGCAACAATTGTTCTTGTAGTTCTATTAAGAGGAATGTTGGAATTCTCCAATCTTTACGATCCTATTCATAGCATTAGAAGTACTAACCACTATGAAGAAATCATTAAAAGTCTTGTTAATCGTCATGATTCCTATGTGTGTGCTTATATAAATAGAGGTATTCTAAAGCATGTAAAATCAACTTATTGCATGAATAAATTTCTGTTTTAGATGTAATGGACTTATTCTTCATCTATTCTGAGGTGATTATTACTTAATCGGGTGTGAGACGTAAAACTATTCCTAGAAAGGTAATCTCAACATTCAAGCATAAGGCTTGCTTATCTAGTTTATCTTTTTTTTTTTCTAGTTTATCTCTTTATGTCTACTTTCAGCTTCTTTTCTTTTTCTTTAATTATTTCGTAATTGCCAAGAAACAGAATTGATTTTATTCTAAATCAATTAGATCTTTAGTTCTTTTTTAATGTGCATAAAATCTTAACCAACTGCCTTGTTTTTGTAATATTTATTTCTTATTATTAATTTATCTTCTGATATAAAAAAAATTCATTGAAATTTGAGCTTCTTCTATTTTCCTATATTCCTTGCTACTACGAAACAATTGTTGTGTTGGAATTTTACTGCCTAGTGAAAATTAAATCACACAAATTAAATTACCATCGCATATGATGTAAGTTAGAAACCCTTGAACCTGAAATGCCTTGCATCACCGGACAGTTTTTTGTCTTCATGCTGAAACATTCATTTGCGAATCTAGACATGCACTACTAACAGAAAGAATTTGAACAAACAAGAAATAATAATTTACGTGAAAAATATATGAAAAGTCACCATCTCAATCTCTACAGCAAAAACTTCTCAACGCCAAATGAGAAAAGCATCAGAATCGATACAGCAATACAAGGAAAATTTTTTAAAAATTCAACTTAGAAAACTTATATAATATGAGAGGAACAGAAAATTGATATAATAAACAACAATAACAAGAATGCTATCAGCAATGCTCCTAGTGATTATGCAGAATTTTACATATATGAACAACAAGATAGCCACATACAAAGCTTGGGAGATTAAAAATATTATTACTGTAATACTTCTAGAGATTGAATGTTTGATAATAGTTAAAAAAATCAATTTATTTAACTTCTCATTGTAAGAGAATTTCTTTGGAAACTTCTAGAGTTAAAAATGCATATATTCAAGTCATTAATAATATGCATGTAAGTGTTGTTATTGTACTCAAATACAAGGTGGCTTGACCAAGTATTTTTTTATTTCAGTTAGGTTACATCAAGGATCAACTTTAAGCTCATATCTTTCGGTATTAGTAATGGATGTTTTTACTAGACATTTGTAAGAGGATGTACTCTAGTGTATGAATTTTGCTAATGATATCCTTCTTTGATAAGATTAGAGAGGGATTTGAAGGAAAACTTGAATTATGGAGAGCAACCTTAAGAGTCTAAAGATTTTCATTTGCGTAGATCTAAAACCAAATGCATAGAGTGTAATTTTAGAAGTAATAGATCTAGTGAGGGGATTGTGACTTTGGGCGATTAAGTCATTAAAAAAGAGTACATCTAGATATATCGGGTCTATTATTCAAAGTGATGGTGAAATAGATGAGGATATTATTAGTAAAATTCAAGTTGGATGGTTGAAGTGAAGGAATGCCTGCTGTGTGATAGAAAAGTAGCCCTCAAACTTGAGAGAAGTTTATAAGATGGTGATGAGACATGTAATGTTTTATGGCGCAGAATGTTGGCCATTAAAAGAAAAGCATAAATTTAAGTTTAGTGTTGCAGAGATAAGGATGCTCAAATGGTAGTGACTTTACTCTTAGAGACAGAATGCAAAGCAAGTATATACGTGAAAAAGTTGGAGTAGCTCCAATGGAAGATAAGATTAGAGAGAGTTGTCTTAGATGGTTTGGTTACATAAAACGCCAGCCTTCCAATAACCCGGTTAGCAGAGTGGATGTATTAGATTTGACTAATGTTAAAAAAGATAGAGACAAACCTTAAAAATTTTGGTTATAAAAGTATTAGAAATGACATTTTTTATTAGATTTAAATGAGAATTTGACTCTTAACATGACATAATGGAAAACAATGATTCATGTTGTCGACCCCGCGTAATGAGATAAAGGCTTGATGTTGTTGATGTTGTATCTTCTCATTCAGTGCATGGGCCACCATCTAATTTTAATATAAATGGTGAAAATGCATAATGTAATTCTAAGGAATATAATTGATATATATGTTGAGATAATCTTAATAGCTTTATTTCATAGCTTTAACCTTTAAAGACAACTTCATTAAATTAAATGTTAATTGAATATAGTAATCTTAAAATACAATCTCATTAAATGAAATGCTTACCTTTGTCAATCCTGCAAACTTGAGGCTGGTTTAACATCATTGCAGTATTAGATTTTAAATCGTTATGATGGGGAGTAAGCTAACTTCAAGCTCAGATCTTATAAAATATATATTACAGTTGGAAGATGCATCTAAACTTTTAGTTAAAATATAACCCCACTTACCATCTAAAAGTAAGCCTAGTAGAAATTATTAAAAAGGGAAATAAATAAAGGGTAGATGATTTGGAAAAATGGTAATGACATTTATCAATCGGCAAATTCCGAATCAAGAGATTTTCTCAGTTGAGTAGCTTATCAGTTAGGATGGGAGCCTACAATAATGCATTTACCATGGCTATTACAGCTTAATGATCTTTAAAGCAACATGTCCATAACCCTTAATTGGTAAAAGATGTGATGGCTTTACAAGCCCCCAACTTCATATCTAGGCGAGGTATAGAATTCAAACTGGTAACATAATAATGATGCAAAATTGTTCATTAAGAAAAAACCAAAAAGTAAAAACATCACCAAGTACTGAAAGAAAGCAATTGTCCGAGTCTTCAAACACTAAATACACTGTTTAGAAAAAATAAACAAAACATAGCTATTTACCTTCCAGAATGCTTCTGGTTAACTTCTTCACCTCCGACCCTTGTGGATCCAAGTCCACCACCCAATCTCCTAGGTCGCCAATTAGGAACAGTTCTACCACGCTCAACATCAACCAATACCCTTCGATTATCAAGCTTCCTACCATCAGCTTGCTTGTATGCAGCTGCATAATATGAAATACTAGAAAATAAATGATATGAATTGTCTCGACAGAAACAGCATTGATATGAGAATATAACTCACTTTTCATGTCACGTGTATGCATATACTCGATGAAGGCATATCCTCTAGGTTTATTCGTCTCCTTGTCCATAATCAGACGAACCTAGGAGACATAAAACAGAAGGCAACATTAAGAAAAATTCTGTATAAAAAATATGGACTCGATGTTCTATGTGCTATGTTTTGACTCTTTGGTTTGTACATCTGCAAATTTTGTTTGGAATACTAAAACCTAAATGGCACGACAGACAGGCAGCAAGCCTTGCTAGCCGTGCTCACCTTTAAAGGTGTACTGCTGCGCCACGTGAGATGCACCACCACCTTATCAATTGGGTTGGCAGATATATCCATGTACAAGACCAATTTTGCCGGATGTGAAATATATATATCTATACCCCCCCTTACCAGGGTAGTTTAAAATAACAAATAGTACAGTTTTAGAAAAATACCATGACTTCTTCAGAATCAGGAAATTCATTTGACTTCTCTAATCAAAAAATAAAATGTTAAGTTGCAGGAGAAAAAAATGATGCATAGAGCTAAAATAGAAAAGGAAACCTGCTAATACCCCCTGCAATATACCTATCCGGGATTGGACATCTGAAATCAAGACGAGGGTGGTGCTTTGGGCTTACAACTTGAAGATGAAGATAAAACAAATAACCTTTCTGATCAAACTTTGTATGTGAAGATTACCTCAAATTTTTTGCCGAACTATCACCCAAAAGTTTCAAGGATGGGTCCAAAATGACAGTAGCATATAACCAGACTTTGGAGTTCTATTTCTTACCCCCACAAATTTCTTCCACAATTTCAAATATCAAGTACAACCCATGTAAATGGGAAAGTGATATACTTAATAATGAAAATTTTTTAAGTAAACTCACGTCTCATGCGAATGATGATAGGGATATTACACGTAGAAAGTTAACATCAAGGAACACTAATTAGATGTTTAAAAAACAATGACAACATACCATACACCTTTTACCGAAATATGGCACAAAACTAGCCCCACAGAATCAGAATAGAATAAGCACCAAAACAATTTCCATAGTTACAGAAGAAGAATATCTTGCTACAAAGAAAGCCAGCACGTGTATTTGCATTAAATTTACCTGTTTACTTACCCAGAAACCTTTATGATCAACAACCAAATTAGATTGAAAATTAAAAATCAAATAAGCCTGACATGATTTTTTTTGTTTTCTGCTAGAGTAACTTTTAAATACAAGTCTTTATCAACCACCATAAAAAAAGTTCAACTAAGAAGAAAGTACACAGCTGCTCCCAAGAAGAATCATTGCCAAGCATTCCTCCAAATCAAATTTCAGTACAAAAATAAAATAATGAAATATAAAAAAATTCAAATAATCTGGATTTGAAGTATAATCACAACGTAGACCATCATGCTAGGCAGTCATGGAAAGTAAAGCAATTCCAGGGTGAAAGAAGAACATAGTTTCATCCCAGGCCACTAAAAAAATCTGGATAGAAGTATACAAAATGAAGATGCTTGATCAATTAACAAAGGTGGAAGAAAAGAATCCACAGTAATATGAACAAATTGCCAAGAATATTAAAGATTACCAGAAGATAGATATCGTTAAAATAAAAAATACCCTCACTGAAAGTAAAGTAGCTAAGAGGAACTAAAAGTATTACTTGCCAAGATAAGAAGGAAATTTGCAGTTAATCAAAAACCCAAAAAGATAAACAAGCTCAGAGGTCGTGAAAAAACAAAGAGATTTACAAATGTATTAACACACAAAGGCAAATAGAAAACTGTACAAGCTAGCATACAATGCAGGCAGAAGACATGTAGCAATGTGCACCTACACATGCATTGGTGGAGGAAATTGAGGTTAAAGTGCTTTCATTACATAAAATTATATGGAAAATTGGGCTTCATGATAATTATAGTTGTCATTAAAAATAGGTACAAATAACACATGAAACAAAAAAAAAGGGTTATTGAAAACGTAAAAAACAAACAAAACTGAACTCCTACAACGGCCAAAAAAGAAGAAACACTTTTTACCTACAACAAAATAGTAACGTCCAACCTTCAAACTTTAAAAAAACATGAACTACAATTTTCAATGCACAAGATCAATAAAGTTAAACTGTAACCTTACCCATGTCAAGAGCAATAACTGCTCCCAACATAAATTTTCTTGTACACTTACCCGTTTAATTGGGCCATAAGCTTCAAACTCCCTTTTGATCCTATGTTCGGTTGTTTCATAACTCTGCAAGGAAATGGAGAACAACAAATACATGCTTTAAAGCATATATAAATGCATACAAGCACAAACTACAAACACAGGAATTCATAAATACAAGCAATTAAAAATCTACAATGGAAAATCCAAACTTACAAGCCTGGCCACAAATAATGTTTTGTATGGATCGCCAGTTGCATTTGAATCTTTATGAGGATCATCTGCATTAAACATCATAAATTAAACACCATTGGATGGACCCAAAAAAACTATTTGCTCCTATGTAAACCCCCAAAGTCTTTACATTTTTCAAGCTCTTCAGCAGCCTTTTGTGCTCCTAACTCCAAGCGAAGCTTATGAATTCTAGCTTTTCTTTGCGCCTGGACCAAAAAATATAAGAACAAAAAATCAGGGAAAAGCAATAGGCCATCATCAAGGCCAATGTGTCCATTAAACATAGCAAACATGTGAAAAAGACATTTAAAAGGACTGCATATTTTGCAAATGGATGAGTATAGTCTGCTAAAGTACGAGATGCTAGAGTCAAAACAGCCAACAGATCAGAAATATAAATCTTAAGTTCTGAATAAACAAGAATTCAAGTTATTTCTTCTCTTGCATTCTCCAATGTCAAGATAGTCAATCAAAAAATATATTCATTAGCAAGCTAGATCAACATTATTGTATGAGATAAACTGTTTGAGGGATAGAATTATTTAGATCTCCATTTAAAGTAACTTGTTGAGACCAACTGATTAAGAAATGATTTCATTATCCTTTCATTGATTGTTAGAACTCACCATAATAAAGTTTTCCTTTCTTCTCATTTTCTTGATTAGTATTCCATCAATACAAACAGTAATGAATATAACTGCAAACAAAATGCTTATAAGCATTCATGAGCGGGACATTCGTAACAAAATACAGATATATGCAGGAAGTACACATGCACAAGGAAAAACACAGGCATATAGAATTAGGGTTCTAAGCAAACTCAACTTCTAACAAATTAGCAAAAAAATTAAAAACAAGAAATGACAATGTACTATGGTAAATGATCTACAAATTTATTTACAAGCTAATTTATTAATGAAAACATCTTTGTGAAAACATACCGGAGTTTCAGCTTTTTGAACTGGAGGTGCATATTCTTCATCCCCAGGTTCAGCAAAATGACTGACATATTGAGCCATTCCTTTGAAGTAAAAGATTAAATATTAGACATTATTTGCGCATAAAGAGGCAGGAAATAAGCAAAAAAAATATAATCTGCCTGAATATGGTGGGCATTTTCTCTTTTCTGGAGGAGGTTTATATTCCAGAGGAGGGCGAGGTTCAAAGAGCTTTAAAAGGTTGTTAGTAAGACCAGTTGGATGGCTCTGCCCAATCTACACAAGAACAAAGCACCAATGGCATTATAGAGGAATAATTTCAAGAGAAAATGCAGTCAAACAAAATACTAAGATAGGCTAGAACAAAATTAATCCAATACATGCATTAAGTCATAATTGACAATTCTGTAAAGCAAGGCTCAAGAAGCAAAAAATATTAACAGATTTCAGGTTTCTAAGAAGCTATAAAGATGCCTTAATCCTTGATATCTTTAGATCAGCATACAACAACTAGGAAGACATTCTCTGAGTCATGAGAAGTAGAGCAAAGGCAGGAAATATTTTGAAGATTCGTCAGGCTAAACTTTGCAGGTTTAACTAAGAGAAAATTAAGAATGGGAACCAATAGCATTGCATTAACTGGAAACCAATTTAAATAATCAGAACCTACTGCTCTATCACAGAATAACTGACCCACTAAATGCTTCAGGGAGAGAGGAGAGCTCATGAACACCTCTTGAGTAGCTCAGCAGTTTTATGTGAGATGAAGCTCAAGTAAATACATTGCATGAGATCTAATTCATCCACAACACCATGAAGGACATATTCCCAAGTCCTTTTTTTTTTTTTTGACCCAATGAATTTGTACCTTATCTACCATGGGAGCAAAATAATAGATAGAAAATGTTGGATGTTTCTAACATGCTAAACATTTAATGCAACATCTTAAACATAAGTAATTTGATAGTCATTACCCTCTTAGTATTGGCAAAACAATCATTTATTAGACCCAAGTCCATTTGAAAAAGGTCAAGAGCCAATGTGAGGTTGACAGCCAACTACATATTCTATATGCCAAACTCATCAAATCAATGTTTAAAATTGCGTATACGGGTATTGAGACGTTTTTCATCCGTGAGGCGAGGCGTAAGCCTCAAGGCGTTTTGAGGCGTAAGCCTCAAAATCAAAAGATTGTGTAAATATAAAATGATAAATTTTTTATATACTAACGAGTGAATAACATAAAACATAAAAAAGCATAAGATATGAAGTGAAATCAAAATATCCCAATAATAAGACAACATAAAATATAGTTCAACTCAAAATTCTATCTTTCCCAAATCCCAATATTCTTTTCATTAACATATAATTCAAATTTCCAAAAATAAATAGCAATGACATATCACATAAGAACTCATAAGTCATCAGCACTGTCATCACTAAGGGATTCTTCATTTGAATCATCATTATGATGAACTGCTCTCTCCCCTTCCTCCTCTCCTTTAGAGTCCAATGTCGGGCATTTACTTCAAGATCTATGTAAGTTTTAATATATATAGCGTGAGGCGTAAGCCTCATGCCAGTGAGGCGAGGCGGGCCTCAACCAAGTTGAGGCGCAAGCCTCATAAAAAAAACTCGAGGCGTAAGCATCGAGGCGTTTTTTATTGGAATTGCGCAAAGGCGAGCCTCATATTACGCAATTTTAAACCATGCATCCAATGAAACAAAATCCTAAAATTTGCTATGAATATGGTGTTCTGGAAAAAAGTGAAGTGCCATCATACCAAGTTAAAGTAACAAAAAACAAGAGTTCGTTAACATATCGCCCATAAGACACATGCCACAACCTACTCAAATAGTGATGAGAAGTTGACAAAAGTCAGCTATAAATTGTAAATAAAAAATGACAAGACAAAACTTGACCCAATTGCTCTTAAAAGTGGGTAAGGGTTGATTAAGTTTAAAGCTAAGATTATAACTCAAAATAATTTGGATATTTTAAATGATCAAAGATGAATAAATAACACATTTTTGCAAAGAGTTAAATGGAAAAGAAAAAAAAAATTATTCAAACACATTGAGGAAGCTTATAAGTTATATCTTAGAAAGTTTGTAAATAGAAATAAGGTAGGAATTATAGTCGTAATAAAATTGAAAATTACAATTGTCAAAGTAAGTAAAATTAGTGCAATATGATTTCAATTAAGGTAATATCAATGCGAATAATATAATTATGGCTAGCGCTTCCGCTTCGACCAAACCACTACAAATGTATACTTTAGGAAGAGAAAAACTATATTAGTTTACTTAAATAAACATATAGATTTTAGTAGAATGAGATGTAAGAAAATTTATAGTGCAGTGCGAATGGAATAGGATGGGCAAACCAAATGATAGAAGCTGCACTCTTATTTTATAGTAATCTATGATCCTGCAAACAAAAAAATTTAAGAAATAAGAACATTTTGTGACTTTAAAAAGCAATGCTACCATATCACATTGATTTTTTTATAAAAGAAAATCATTTAGAAAATATTATAATTTGATTTCAAGAGCAAGTTTGACACACAACAATATGAGTAGTATGTATGAATGTCTTAGAAGTAAGAAAATAAGGAAATTTAAAAAAATAATAATAATTCTTAAAATAAAAATGGTGCATCTTAAAGAGTGAGATGTTCTGAAGATTTCAAGATAGACTGCTGAGAGATGCAAATTGAAACTCTAAAGTTGTGACAAACTTGAAGTGGGACATGACTATTTGCATCATTGAAGTTTTAAGAAAATCGAGATATATATCTAAAATAAGAAGAATTTATGTACATCTCACAAAATATTATTAAGGCAATAAAATCAATATTTAAAGAAAGGAAAATAACTAATTAATACTACCGACGCTTATAATAAGTTAGAGGAAATTAGAAAGTTTAGCCAAGAAGGCAAAGTTAAATCAAATCATTTAATGATTTCTATAGTAGGTCAAATAATAAAGAGGGAGAAAATGAAATATGTACAAAGAAAAATTTCTAAGGATAGGAAAAATTGAGAATTTGATCAAGTTAGATTTATTAAAAGTGAAAATATTAAGATATTATTTGAAGGTTAAAAAATAAAATAAGAATGGTATTTTTAGAATTTATTAGATGATGATTTTAAGAAAGAAATCATTTTAAAGGAGCATAACAAATAAAATTATGTAGTATAGTATAGATTGATAAAAAAATGAAATCAAATTAGCTCTGAAGAAGATGCATAAACATAAACAAATCATAGAATCTAAATCAAGTACTAATCGTTTTATGGAGAATTATAAAAGATATTGGAGTAGTTGGTTAACATATATTTCTCAATGTACTCTTAAAGATTAAAAGGATGTAGTATTAGTGAAGTTAAACAACTATTTGAATAACAATATAAGATCAAAATAGATGTTAACAATGACGACAATTATGAAGTAATCAACTTCGAAATAAGTAAGATAAAGTTATAAAAAGAGTGATAAAGCATAGGCATAGAAAATCAAAAGCATTAAACAATTTATTTTATGCCAACAGTATATATTATGAAGGATTTTTTTTCCTAAGAAAATTAATTTGAGCTCAGTTTGGAGTGATTGCAGCCATCTATAAAAATATTTGTAGAACTACTATAATAAAAAAAATGTTTAAGATATCAAAGGAATTATAAATATTTCTTTTTGAAAAAGTCGAACAACTTCCTACGACTCTTCAGCTTGCCCACTATTTCATTTCGGCCTCTTGAAGTTCCTCCGGCTCTTCAGCTTGCCCAGGTTTTGAGATTTGCTCACGTTTCTTCATAGCGGTTAATTAATAATTATAACTTTACCGCTTTGTATTCGTGACCCAAATCGCCCTCTGCTTGGCATTCACTTTGAATTCCACAGTTAAATGATAATGAAGAGCCAATTATGCTCTGACTATTCATCTTATCCTCTCTTCGTATTTTGATTTCATTAGAACCTCGTGTAATTTTACATCAATACTTCATCGAAGCAGTTTCACCCCTTTCTCCTGTCATTGCCACAGCGAGAATCATCGAGTTCTCCCCACCTCCTCCTTTCTTATTGCTGGTGTTTTCTCCATCCTCCTCTGGCCTTCCAACCCTGAGCTCAGCGTCAACCGCCTCCGCCTCTTCCCTCCGTCTCGATTTACATTGCAATGGGATTGGAAATCAAGATTCGCAATCCTGAACTTTTTTGCGATTGACTATAGCTCAATTGTCTCCTCCATCTTTTACAATGGGGAGCTACTTAGATTCGCGACCAATGTTGGTGGGCGCATGGAGGCTCGAAAGGTATCTAATGTTCACACAAATCTGCATCTTGATTGGTAAGGATTCTTGAAAATGAGAATTATTTGATCGGTGATGTGGCTATGGGGTTTGTCGAAATTGATACTGTCACCGAGGCCCAAGGATGGCTTCGACTCTTCTTCTTTGACCTTCCAATTAAGGGGAAAATTCCTGCACTCAAGATTGTAGATGTTTTCTCTTGATAGAAAATTTTGTTTGTTTCAATTTTAGTATATTTTAGTTTATTGCACATTGATCTATTTTTTTGTGTGAAGTTCCGCATTTGAAAGAAGATTTTATGCTTTCTACATGTGCTTGTTGATATTGAGTTTTATTCCTAATTTTCTATACTTGTATCTCCCTATTAAGTCATTATCTTCGATTTCGCAGAAACCCTGCGTTCTATTGACCTGAGAAATTATAATATCCCTTGGACTGTCGATTCAACAGCCAGGGTCGTGCCCTTGTGTTGTAGACTCAGCAACCAGGGAGTGGATGATTTTGGTTATTAATGTACTTTTGGTCCCTCCTTAGTCCTATGAGTTTTGATTTTTATTTCAATTATAAGTTGATATTTACTAGCTCAATTGCAATGAAGTTAATAAGGGTGGAATCAGAAATTTTATTTCTGGAGCAGAAACTAATGAGTTAAGGTATCTCTCCATATCAATTTCAAATAAATAATTAGTTAAAAATGAATATTTGTTGCCTTTTTTAAAACCTATTTGTCTTCTCTCTTTCCCGCTTTCACATGCACATGCATCGAAAGGGAGAGAGAGAGAATACATAAAGTATAAAGAAAAAAAATTATAGCATTTTGGTGCTTGAATTTATATCCACTACCCAATTCGTAAGAAATTTTGTATGTCCAAAGAAGCCTTATTGATATCTTTTTCCTTATGAATAGGTTCATATGGAGAAGTGTAACGTGCAGAATGGAACAACACTGTGAGTATCATTCACCATGCTAATTGTATCTTTACAACATTTCATGCTATTCCATTCATAGTAGTGTCTTCTTGAAAAAAATAGTTTTTGCCAACAATAAATAAAATCAAAAATACTTTAGAGTTGTTTGACTCATTGTAAATAAAATTTAATAGATTATCTCTTTGTTTGATTTTAATCTCTTTCCGAGGGAATAAAAAAGAAGAAAAATCAATGCTTTAGAATAGCCCAAAGAGGTTTGTTTTTTTCTTGATAAATTTATCAGTCGACATATTCTATATGCCCCACACTACTTAATTTTATATCAATATATTCTGATATAATTTTTTTTTTAATTAGAATATTGTGCAGCTAAGGTTGGAGTAGCTCCAGTAGAAGATAAGATTAGAGAGAGTCGCCTTAGATGGTTTGGTCACATAAAACGGCGGCCTTCCGATGACCCAGTTAGGAGAGTAGAGGTATTAGATTTGACTTATGTTAAGAAAGGCAGGGGTAGACCTAAAAAGACTTGGTTAGAAAATATTAGGAATGACCTTTCTTTATTAGATTTAAATGAGAATTTGACTTTTAATAGGACACAAGGGAGAAAAAGGATTCATGTAGCCGACCCCACGTAGTGGGATAAAGGCTTGATGTTGTTGTTGTTGTTGTTGTTGTTGTTGTTGTTGTAGAATATTGTGCAGCTATTCAAGCGAACATCAAGATTTTGAGCAGAGATATTGAAGGTTGAGGGTTTTCTTTTTATACTAATGTATGCTTCTTAATGCATCAAGAAATTTAAACAGGATTCTGTAATTTAGTTTTTACATTTCATTACAGTATTTTATTTTTGTAAATTCACTATATTTTTTATTGCCATAAAATTGTCATAACAGTTTATATTTATGATAACTATCTTAAATTCATTCAATTTGTTATCTCTAAATATCCTTGCTTCACTATTGAATTGTTGCATATCTTAAAGAGGATTGTTAGTGTGAAATTAATAGTTCAAGTTATGATTTAAGTTCTTTATTACAATTTAAAATTATAAAACAATTCAATGCATTCAATTAGTTTTTTTTAACTATGATTGTGTTACTTTTTAATTTGTTGCACATCATAAATAGGATTGAAAAGAAGGAAAATGCCCATTCCTTTTGTGCTGCATTAGAGGGTTTTCCTAGAGAAACAGGAACTTCTTCAAGGCAGATGCATGCCATTACTAAAATATTAATGTAAGCTCCTTTTCAATCTCGGTATTTATTTGCTGAGAGTTTAAATTGGTACTTTTGTCAATTTGGGAATAAGTTATTTTTGTGCAAGTATGTTATGCAGGACCACTATAATTGGTCTGATCTGTCTATTTGAATGAAGTTATCGATTTCTCATAGAATTTCTTCAACCTTGAAAGCATCTATTCAACAGTATATATCAGTAAAAATCATCTATATTCAATTTATCTATAAAAGCATGATCTTCTTCAAATGTGCGTCATTGTGCTAGATGTATAATAGAAGTATATATTTATACTTCTATAATAGAAGTATAAGTGCATCATTGTAATTCAATTTATCTTAATTTAAGTATAATAAAAATATAAATCACCTACATTGATACAAATATTATATTAATATTGATATACAATTTAATATCTTTGATATAGCATGTCATATGTTATTTTTTAATTTGGTTATATATTTTTTATTTTTTAAAATTTTATTCACGTGCACCATGTGCACGTGCATTTATACTATTTATAAGAAATAGCTTCACACCTCATCAATTTCAAAAAAGCAATAAAAAGTTGTAACCAAACAAAATGAATAGAAAGCAAAGCTATGAAAAAGTTATCCCAAACAAACTCCTTAATGTGAACCAAAAAAAGTTTGCCAAAGATAAGTTTTAGGTTCTTAAAGATAATTTATGGTACTATGGCACTGCCATTGAAAATGGTTCATAAGAAACAAAAAATTTCCCACCAACAATATGATTACATCAAGGACCAAGTGAAGTACCTAAGGTTATGTTGCTTGCATATGACCTAATTCTAATTAATCATACCTATTAAAAAAATTTAAACAATAGAGAAAATTGTTAGGAGATGAGAGGCTAAGGATTAATAGAATATAACAAATAAATGATTTTCAATTTTAATGGACATGAAATTGATAATAATAAACTCATGTCACTTAATGAAGAAGTAAAACTTAGAATCCTAAAAAATGATATGTTTATAGACCTTAAATTTATTATACCAAATAAATGATGATATATGCATAGTAAGCTCTAGAGTTAAGGTTTGTGGCTAAAATGTTAAAGTTCCTGAAAGTTTTGCAAAATAAATTTATTATTAGATTTGTTATGCAGTATAGATCTTGGTGTTAGGCAATAAAAAAGTTTTGATAGACGAGTTGACACACAAAAACCAAGAATATTAACAATGATTTGCAATAATACTAGGTAATTGATGTAAGAAATGGTTTTTTTGTATTAAAGAAAGTGGGAATAATGCATATTCAAGCTAAATTAGTACATTGATTGCTAGTAGATAAAAGACAAAGGGATAGAAGAAGCATTAATAAGATCCATTAAAACTTTAACGTGAATGGATTAGGGAGGAAAACTAAAGGCTAGATCAGGTAATATTGCAATAAGTATTGCAAAAAGATTTGCATAAATAATGTTAGCACTTCATTCAGCACAAATGGATAAAAGACGAAGGGATAGAAGAAGCATAATAAGATTCATTAAAACTTTAATGAAAATGGATTAGGGAGGACAACTAAAGGGTAGATTAGGTAAGATTGCAATAAGTATTGCAAAAAGATTTTCAAAAATAATGTTAGCACTTCATGCAGCACAAAATGAACAGAGAAAAAGTATTCAAAAAGAAGATAATAGTTGCTCAGTAAAAGACTAATGTTCATGATGATTATAACCTCTTAATAATGGCAACAAAGGAAAAACTCATAAGTTGAACCACATTATATCTTTAAAACATTTTGTTCCTATTGAACGTATTTCTAAGTTTAAAGACCCCCCTTATTTCTCTAACTAGCTTATTGTTAGCCACATCTATAGCCCAAATAGGAACAGTATTCACACCAATAGATGAAAATAAAAATAAAAAGACAAAAAAATTTGTGAAAGAAAAGATTAATTGATCTATTGGTCATACACATGGCAATAAATTCAAGCAAGGCCACTCTTAAGACTAGTCTATAGGTTTCTCACAATTCTCTACCAACCAACTAGGCTCATTTGTATCATGAAAACAACACATCAGCAATGAGTATCTTGGATCCTAGATTCACAATAATCAAAACCTTAACACAATATTTTATATTCTTTCATTTGCCTAACTTTAATAGGATGCTTGGTCACTAGATTTAACCAAGATTTAGCCAAAATTTAGTCTAAATATTGTCAAATCATTTTTTGAGCAAGTAACTTCTTAAATCCCATTTTTTTCACCCATTTTAGGCTAAATCCTAGATTCAGTAAATCCTAAGGGAGGTAGAATTTAAGAGACTTACAAAACCTCTGATCAATGTGTATTTTCTTCTCCTTTCGTAAAATCATAAATATTGAAAATATCTACCAAATAGTTTACTAATATTTAAACATTTAGGACATATCATATCAAATATTATTAGGATTTAACACCTATAAGATTTACAAGATTTCATAATTCCTATTAGCAGCCAAATAGCCCCTAAGCTTTCTTGGACTGAAATTGAAAACATACAAGTTCCACAGCATAACTAATGCAATCAAACTGGAAAGAGGAGTATCCTGTGGAAATCAAAGCAAGTCTATTAATGAAGATACTGATAAAAAATAAGATCCGTAATACAACAACGAGATTACCAGATCAGATCGGAAGAAACAAGGGCTGGGTTCTTAGGAATAGGAAGAGCTAGGGTTTCATTGGATTACCAATTTTAGCTGAAGAACGTTAGCGCGATTCTGCGCCTTGGTACGAGCCTGCACGGCGGCGTTAGGATTTCGCATCATCGCATCGTTGTAGTCTCCCATCTTCGCGCGCACAGAGAGAATGAAAGCGACGAGGGTGAAAAGACGAGCTCTCGAAGACCCGATTTGCGAGTCGGCGGCTAAGAAGCATTTTGGACAAGTTTATTTATAGGAAAGGGTAAATAATCACCTAATTCCAACTTGTATATATTATGATTTTTTAACTCCCTAGTATACGAACAATTACGTCCTCTGACCAAACGTAGAGCTACGTTCGGCCGCCAATAACATGTCGTCATGTGCTCTTACTCTTTATCGTGCGGCCTGACGATTTGACCCGGATCGGAACCCGGGAATGCTATGTTCGCGATTTTCTCGGTATTGCTCGGTATTTGCTCGGTATTTGCTCGGCATTGATTTGCAAAAACGAGAAATATCGCTCTGTGAAGACCAATACCATGCAAATACCGAGTTGTACCGAGTTTTTCTACAACTCGGTACAACTCAGTATTTGCTCGGGATTTGCTCGGTATTGCTAGGTATTTACTCGGTATTGCTAGAAAAAACTCGTTACAACTCAGTATTTGCTCGATATTGCTAGGTATTTGCTCGGAATTGGTTATTGCCGAGCAAAATCGACCAATACGGAGAAATCTTGAGTCCGTTCCGGGTCGGGTTGTCGGGGCGCGCGGCAAATATAAAAACGTGTGGCGCGATTCTACTGGCTGCCGAACGTAGAGCTACATTCTGTGACCGAACCAAATAAAAATTCCTAGTATACTTAAGAAAAAAGGGACATAAATAAATATATATAAGATCAATTAATATTATTTTAATAAATAATTATTAATTCAAGTTAATATATATTTAAATCTAGTAAAATTATGATTCTCCACATATTTTTTTTCCCACTCTTAAAGACGTGTCAAATTCTTCCTCATGTATTCGAAATACTCCTATGCTCCTGAAATCGTTCATGGAAATACAAGAGATCAACTTAAATCTCATTGAGTAGGAAGGTTGTTAAAATGACAATCATTGTAGAAATCGATAGGCAAACATTCAAATTATTTGAATCACGAAGCAAACATGCATTGCGAATTCATCTAATCTTTCTTCAACTACATATTTCCTAAAACTCCACCATTAACCAATTTGGTTTTAAATCTAACATTTGGTCTTGATCTATCTTATTCATTTAATCCAATCTTTTTTTGTAGGAGCTAAATCTCCTCTCCAAACTAAAATATTGTTCATCTCATCCTAAATCCTAATTTAACCACTTTCATTCCCTTATAAGCAACCGTTATGGTTCATATGTTGTAATTTGAAGTGCCTTCTCCAAGAGCTATGGAGAAAAGGTGTTATTTTGGAGATTCAGTTAGAAGCTACTAGATTTATCCATCTTACCCAATTTGTATAAGGAAACCAAAAAAGCTATGCTTCTAGAAGCCAAACCAACTCTTTTTTTCTCCATGTGAAACTTCTAACCAAGCTACTTGATCTAAAACATTCATGCATTCTTAAACATATCCAAAATTAAGCAATATGATTTCATGAATATGAATATAGTGTTCATATTTTGTGTTAATTATTTAGGTAATGCAATTTTGCATTGATGCTTTTGCTTATTATAGGGTGAAGGGTTCGATCTTGCAATGCGTTTTAGATTTCATTTGAGACAACTTTCTTTTTGTTTTTTACAGCAACTTTTTAAAAATCTTTTGAAAGCAGTGAAAAAGTAGTGGTCAAAAGTTGTTCCAGACAAAGCCTTAAAATGTCAAAAAAATAATATTTTTTTTATGAATTGAGGCTTCGTTCGGGACATCTTTCTTATTGCTTTCAAAAGCAGCTTTTTTATAGAATTTTTTGTACTAATAAATTGCTTAAGAAAGCATTAAGAAAGTTGTCACAAATAAATAAATAAATAATAATAATAATAATAATAATAATAATAATAATAAATAAATAAATAAATAAATAAAAGAAACATGTCCTAAATGAAGCCTCAGTTTCATTGCTTTTAAGTTTATGTCTCTCTTCAAATCTTGCGTAATATTATGTTATATATTTATTTATATATAATGTGTATTCTTATTTATATACATGTTTTTGGATACTGATATTTTGATAAAATTGGCTAGAATTATAAAAAAAAAACTCCATTGAATGGCCATATTAATCCTCTCAATCATACATTATTTATTCAATATTGGAGTACTTTAATGACCTCAAAAGTAAATGATCTTAGGCTCATTATATTTAATTCCTTGAGCTGCTTGATCTAACACGGAGCACATAAGATTTGGACATCATTTAGTCTTTCAAGTAATGTCTTGAAATTTTCATATATATGCTTCATATGTTTGATTTAGGTTAATTTGAACTCAAATCATATTACCTTTGGTATTGTTGGATTTATCTTATCGAGGCATTTAATCAGATTATAAGTTTATTAAATTTGGAATTCATATGTTCTTGTATTTAATTTAAAAAGTTTTTAATACAAAATAATACATTGAGTTTCATATCAATCAATTGAAACTTTGGAGGTTTATCATTTGCCCCATATTTTTGGACGTCGAAGATTATATCCTTTGAAAATATATATTAAGACTTCCATAAAATTTGTAGCCCAAAATTATAATGTCAAAATATTATATGGCTTGAATGAACCTTGTGAATTAACACGGACCTCCCCTAAGAGCAATGAACTAAGTAAAATCTTTTAAATAATAATTTAAACTTTTTCTAAACTTAATGTGTCAATTGGAGCAAAACTTATTGAAATTTTAGGTCCAATTATTCAAATATACTCCAAATTAATCATAGAAGCTCAATTAAGCTATTAAAAATATGAAAATTGACTCTATAATATCAAATAAATTATTTTGAGAACCTCTAGCATGCCAGAAAAGGCAAGTACAAGCACAAATTTGGGTCGTTGGTTTGAGGAACCATCATTGTTGGCACTCACTAGTGCCTATGGTGTCTTGCCCCACAACATTTAGTGCATGATGTAAATCTAATAATTATGTACGTGGCTTTGAAATGTATATTTCTTCATATATTAAAATATAAAATTAACTGATATTGATAGTCAATGTGTTGGATGTAATAAATTCTACATCTTCGTGTAAAAATAATTAAGATTAGAGATAAATTACCCTACCCCTAGAGGAGACTAAATCTTTTGTATGTCTTTGAGATGTACTTAAAATATTTGTCTTTCTAAAAATTCAATAGGTCATAATTAAATCTTTGAGTTGACAATATGATATTGTACATAATCAAAATGACCTCAATTTCTTAGTTGACAAAGACCTTATAAGCCAACACTTTCGGAGATATTAATGGACCTATACTTCATGAGGCTTTATCCTTTAAAAATAATTACCCTTTGAGGCATTTAGTCTTTTAAGACTTTTAGAGAACTAAGGAAATATGTTCCTTCAGAAGTTTTTAACCTTCTGAGATTTTGAAAATTTTGAAAAATTATGTACCTTTTGAGGATTTTAGTCTTTTAAGATTTTTTAGGAATTGAAAAATATTTATCATTGTGGATTATGTCTTTAAAAATTTTGGATGAGTGGAGACCATGTCTGCGACTTTCTTGCATAGTCTTTTTTTAGAGAATACTTTATTCATTGCTAACTTGCCATCGGGGATACCTCATGATTATGGCTTTTAGGGTTCTTAAGTGGAGATCCATCTTCCTCTTATCCTTATAAGGTATTTCTAGTGAGAATACTATTTGCTACTAACATCCCATTAAGGCTATCTCGTGGGGGTGCCTTTTGAGAGTTTCTATTTGATAATAATTATATTTATAAAAAGAATACTTCAATGATAATTGAAATACCATAGAAGCCATGGTATAATTTTTTTTTAGAAATTCTAATGAGATGAGAAGCTTGTCTTATATGAGTTTCTTTAGCTATAGAATCTTCTAGTATATAAGAGCAATTAGGTCAAGATGACACACTTATTCAATAATTCAGACCATTTTCTTATCATAACTCTTCATGTCTCATCTATTTTGAGATTGATGATCTACATATTATGTCCTTAGCAAATTAGACATTCAATCCTTTCCTTCAATTGAATTTTTTTTTTTATTGAATGCCATCTTGAATGGTGAAAGTAATGAGATTGATCTCCACCACTTGATTTTCTTAAAGGCTTTAGCCACTTGAGGTATTCAAAATTTTAAATCTACATTAAAATATTATCCATGGATATATTTAATGTAGTATAATCAGATGATTCAAGTTGAATTTGATGAGAATAGCCACTCTGGTCTCTTTATTGCTTCTTCTTTCAATAAATGGGCCAATCATTTTTTATTTTAAATTCTTGAATTTACTTAAGGATTATTCAAATTACTTTTAATAGGCAATAATCGACTCATGAATGGTTATTTGTGCCTCTACTTGATTAATAAGATTAGCATGAGAGTGGACTTTCTCTCACCAATGAGAAGTTTAAATATCCAAGGCGAGGACCAAAAAAAAAATCGCATAACATCTCCAAATCTACTTCTGAATTTTGATGCACATTGAAAGAGAATCTTTGAAAGCACTTCGTAATGTTCTCTCTCCCATTTTGGAAAATCCTAGAGAAATGTGAGGAGTCTTTGATAAACTTTCTACATGTCATAAATTAGTCAATAAAATTTTCGCTATATCAATATAAGTATGAATAGTCCTATTAAAGAAAGTAGAAAAATGAGCAAGCTTTTCCTTTAAGATTTACGATGAGGACCAAGCATGGACTACATCGTAAGCTTGTTGAAAGTTCATTATGGTCATATAATGGTCAATATGCTCGTAGGGGAAGGAGTCTCATCATATGGTTCATTTACAGGAAACTTAGACCCCACTGAAATATGATCAACACATTATTTTAATGTTACTTGATCAATCCATAATCATCCATCAACCATGGAGGGATTAAATCAACATTACCTTATTGACACCCCCTCATAATGTTATAAGAAATGAGCTACAACACATTGTTCAAGAGGAATTTCTTTTGAGGAAAAAGAATAAATTGACTTTTAGTTGTAGCTTTAAAGACTTTTCACCCCTTAATAATATAATTCTCCAATATTGACAGTGTATAAGAGAACTTGATGAGGCTATAGTGAAGTA